TCCTTCAACAATTTGAGCAAAGATAGAATGCCTAAGAACAACATAGATGGATTTGCAGAGGATGGGCTGTTTTACTTCAAGCATCATTAAGCACAAATGACCCTGGTTCCTTTTTTAAGTCACCTTTGACTGTAACATGTACCGCTGCTTGATTTTTACATTTGGTTGGCAGTCCTTTGCCCTGTCTTTTTAAGAAATATTTTTATTGATTTCAGAGAGGGAGAAGGAGAAAGAGAAAGAAACATTAGTGATTAGAGAGAATCATTGATCAGCTGCCTCCTGCACACCCCACACTGGCCCGCAACCTGGGCATGTGCCCTTGACCTGATTCTTCAGTCCAAAGGCCAACTCTCTACCCACTGAGCCAAACCGGCTAAGGCCGAGCAGTCTTTTAATGAAGACCCCATGGACCTTGCTGTCAGGCCAGGTGTTTGCTGTGCACACACATGTATCATGGTGATTGCTGATTGCACACGTGAGCTCTGGAATCAACATGGGTGCTGCACTTAGTTGTGGCATGGCCTTGAATGAGGATGGCACTTTGTGTGTCTCAGTGTTTTCCTTTTGTAAGGCAGGGAACTAGTAAGATTGTTGTGAGGATGGAATAAATTAAAACATTTAAAATGCTTAGAGCAGTGCCTGGCCCACAAGTAGTTGATAAACACATGAGCTGCTATGAATCTTGTCAACCTTCCTGTGATGAACGGATTCTAAGATCTTGTTACAGGGAACTGAGGCACAGAGAAGTCAAGTCAGGAAGCTCGTGTTGAGGTTGGGCTGCCAGGAGGCAGGCCTGAGGTAGAGGTCCAAGTGGAGAAAGTACTTAGGGGTGCTCTCCAGGTCAACAGGTGTGGAGGGGTAGGGTGATGGAAGCTGGCCTAGGTTGGGCAGAAGGAAAGGTTGAACTGTGATGCAATCACAAGGTTCCCCAATGGCAGTGGTAGGCAAACTGTGGCTCTTTGGCCCCTTGAGTGTGGCTCTTCCACAAAATACCATGGCCTGGGCGAGTCTATTTTGAAGTGGCGGCATTAGAAGTTTAAGTTTAAAAAATTTGGCTCTGTGGACTAATTTTAATCGTTGTCCTGTTGATATTTGGCCCTGTGGACTAATGAGTTTGCCGACCACTGCCCAGTGGGTGTGGAGTGGTTTACAGTTTGATGCTCCCTTTTAGAGGCGGAGCCAAATTCCCCTTCCCTTGAGTGTGGGCTGGGTTTAGTGACTCTCTTCTAATGACCAGAAGAAAAGTGGATAGAGAAGTCAGAGCTCGGCCATACAAGGCCCTGCTGGCTCTGCCCTGGGATCGCCTGGTCTGGAGAGGTCAGCTGGCACACAGAGAGGGCTCCGGAGTGGCCAGTGGAGAGTCCCGCATGGTGAGGACCAAGGCCTTCAGCCAACAGCCACTCTGGAAGTGGACCTTACAGCCCAGCCAAGCCTTCACAAGCCTGTGGCCTAACCTACTGATGGTAACCACCGAGACCAGGAGCAAGAACCCTGGTTGAAGCCGCAACTGCTTTCCCGACCCACAGATACCAGGAGATATTTGTGAGAATATCTTGTTTCTTGTTTTCAACTGCTAATTGTGAGGGTGATCTGTTATGCACAACAGCTACTAAGATAGGGACCTTAGCAGCTGGCACTGTCCTTCAGAGTTGTCCCAAACTGGGGTGAGGAGAGGTCTTCACGTTGACTACGTTCATGAGATGTGGCTTGACCCTCTAGAAGGGACCTTGACCTTGGGCAGAGCAGCTATCCGAGGCCGAGATAAGTTCCAGAAAAATGACTGAGCTGAAAGCGGTTGAGACCAAACTCTGAGCAGCTCAGGAGCGTGGCCTTCAGCCCTGACATAAAGGTCTCGGGGGGCATCACGGTACCCACCGAAAGGCCTGTAATGGGACCGCTCCGTTGTCTGGAGGGAGCACTGGGCTTACAGCTGAACGCAAGGCATAGCACTCTCGCCGAAACCGGTTTGGCTCAATGGAGAGTGTCAGCTTGGGGACTGAAGGGTCCCGGGTTTGATTCCGGTCAAGGGCATGTACCTTGGTTGTGGGCATATCCCCAGTAGAGGGTGTGTAAGAGGCAGCTGATCGATGACTCTCATCAATGTTTCTAACTTTCTCTCTCTCTCTCCCTTCCTCTCTGTACAAAATCAATAAAATAAAAGTAAAAAATAAAAAGGCAGAGCACTCTCTTCTACCGAAAGCTGCCTACAATCCACTTCCCCAGGGCTTCGGAAGAAGATGCAGGTGTAGCCATTTTCACCAAATATTCCCCACTCCTCCCCTCTCCAGTCTCTACAAGGATGATGGGAAGGAAGAAAGGAGGCAGGTGGCCATGCGGCAGCGTTTCTGGTGGAAGTGATGAAGAGGAGGCTGTAAAATAACCTGTCCTCCCGTCAGTGGGACCCGCTGGAGGGCGAGGCTGGTGTTCCATCCCCTGCTTGCAAATGTGTCTAGTCAGCATTCTTGCTGATTTATTCCTGTGTGTATTTCATGATAGAGGAAGATTAAAGGCATGGCATGGCTCAGTGTTGAGCATCGACCCATGAACCAGTAGGTCATGGTTCAATTCCTGGTCAGGGCACATTGGATTGCAGGATCGATCCCCCGTGTGGGGTGTGCAGGAGGCAGCTAAGCAATGATCCTCTCTTATCACTGATGTTTCTACCTCTCTCTCTCTTTTATCTCTGAAATCAATAAAAACGTTTAAAACAAAGACAGATAACAGAATGGAAAGGCCATGGGACACCCTCCAGTCTAGCTTTTTGTGTGGCAAGAATATGTATTTCCCGCCAAAACCGGTTTGGCTCAGTGGATAGAGCATCGGCCTGCGAACTGAAAGGTCCCAGGTTCGATTCTGGTCAAGGGCATGTACCTTGGTTGTGGGCATATCCTCAGGGGGGGGGGGGGGGAGGGGTTTTGCAAGAGGCAGCTGGTCGATGATTCTCTCTCATCTATGTTTCTAACTATCTATCCCTCTCTTTCCTCTCTGTAAAAAAATCAATAAAATAAAAAAGAATATGTATTTCCCACGAGTCAGATGGACTCTTAGGAAGATAAATGGTCTTGCTGGACCCTCACCCAGGAGACTGGGGAGAGTGTACTGTGTGCAGGCAATGGGATGATGGGGGAAAAAAATCAAGCTGGGGATGGATCTCCCATTAAAACTGTGGAGAGAAGGACCACCAAGCTTCCTATGTCCCCCATGAAAGCAGTTTTCAACAAGGGCCAGTCCTCTGGAGAAGAGGCATCTCAGCGGAAAGAGAACTGCAGCACTGGCTGGTTAAGATACTCGCTTTAATATGGCACCCAGCCCTTGAAGACAACATGAAGTAAGTGTCTGAGAGCCGGAGCCATGCTTGCACCTTCTCACCCTCAGGATCTCAGGCCATGAGACAGGCAGACACTTGGACATGTTCTGATTTTCAGAAACTGAAATTGACCAGGAAGTTCCAGCATCACCAAGGTGTGGTGAAGGGATGGAAAACAGCAGTGAATGGGGAAAAGTGGTTTCATGTTTGGAAGCCATCACACACCATGATGGCAAAACTCATTCCACTGGTAACTCTCTGCACTGCACCAGCATACCGTAATGATTGTGTACAACCGGCAGGGAGGAGGGAAATTGGCACGCCTGTCCTCGAGGAACAGGAAACGTCCTGCGGTAAAGGAAGCAGAAAGCAGGCTTGCGGAAGCCAAAGGCTTGCCAATGTGGATCCTGGCTTCATTTCCTGTTTCCTTGCATTGTCTACCGAGGTTGATATTTTAGTGGTTGAAAAGGATGGGTGAGACTGGTGGAGGGGGAGGGATCCACTCCTGAATTGCAAACAGGCAGGCTGAGATGACTAAGTCCCTAATGGATTGCTTCAGATTTGCTGAGTTGGAGTTGGCAGGAAGATCGCCAAGGCAGAGACGGAAGCCCTCAGGGCAGAGAGGAGCTGAAAACTGAGAACTGGAAGCCGGGAAATACCACTTGTAACCACCTTCAAAAGCAACTGCTCCGTCACTGCTGTCTTACAAAACGCCTTCCATTCTACAGGAAGGCACTCGGGACAGTAATTCAGTCGTTTTAGAGAACATTTTTTAAGTAATGCAGTTTAAAGCACATGACGGCACCCAGGCATTTCAAGACATCGTCAGTACGCCTTCAATGTACCTCTCTGCTTACTGGAGAGGTCCTTGTTTAAAACCCTTACAAGGATTCTCTTTCCATAGACGGAGTACGTCGCCTAACACGGCATTGCTGCCCTGCCAGGAAGCAATGCTGCCCCCAGACATGTGTGACCTGCGTCGGGTTCCGGCGGCTCCGGCCCGGAACCGAGCGGAGACAGGCAGGTCCGCCCGGCTTTGGTTCCCAGCGCCGCGCACGGATATGAATATTCAACACCCGCCCCGGGCGCGCAGGGGCGTACCCACAAGCCCCCGGGCACGGGGACCCCGCGCCGCGGCTCGGAGGGGGCGAGGTCACCGGGCTCCCCGAGACCTTGGCCCCGGGCCCGGCGGCGGGGCTGGGGCCGCCGAGACACCCGTCCAGCGGCGCTTCACAGTCCTGAGTGCGAGGCCGCGGGCCCTCCGAACCCCCGGGAGACCGTGGGGGGTGGAGAGGGCGAGGGGAGAAGACAGGGAGGGAACGCACCAACCCGCCAACGTGCCTTCCAGCCAACTCACTGGTGCGGCGGCTCTGCGCGCACGGCATGACGGGAGCCGCGGCTCCCAGGCGCGGGCCGTTCCCGCGACGCGTCTCCGGCACCGCCCCCAACGCGGCGCACGCCGGGAGAGCCCTCCTCCAACCTTGTAGTAAGCGGGCGAGAAGGAGGGCATTTCCGGCGTTATGACTGGTTTTCAGGAAGGGGCGGGGCTGCTTTAGTCCCGCCCCTCACGCCCGGCGGGGGCGTGACGAAGAGTGATCGTCCCCCGCCTCAGCACGCCCCTGCGCCGGAAGGAGGAAGGCGGGGAAATCGTCCGGCATCCGGCGCGAGGTCACGTGACGCAACTGCCGAGGGAGACAAGAAAGGGGTGGGGCCCGTGCGGGCGGGGCGGGTCCTCCCGGCTTCTCCTCGGGTCACGTGTGGCCGGAAGTGGCGCCTGCCGCGGCGATTTCGGGATGGGGACCTCCCTGGACATTAAGATTAAGAGAGCGAACAAGGTCTATCACGCCGGGGTAAGTGGGGTGGGCGGGCCTGCAGGCTCTGTCATTTCCAGGATTCCACGCGCCTCGGGGGGTTCCTGGGCGGGGCGGGGCGCGCCGCGCCGCTGGCTGCCCGCCGAGGGCCCCCGCCCCCGGAAGCGTGGCCGCCGGGGCGGGGGGCGTGCGGGCCGAGGGGCCGGCGCCGGGCTGCGGTGCTCCTCGCTGCGCTCCGTGGACCTCCGGCTCCGCCTCGGCCGGCGTGGGCTGTCGCGGGCAGCACGGAGACCTCGCTCCTCTGCAGAGATCTAATGAAGAAAGGCCGAATTCACCCTGGAAACAGAAGTATGCACTTCCGGCTGTGGTCAGCTCTGACACTATACAAAAGTTACTCATTTCTCTGGTTTTGTTCTTGGAATAGCATACAGAAAGAATGGCATATTAAAATGCAAGCAAAAAAAATCTTAACTGTGCCATTGAGTTCTGTGCCACTGGCCGCTTAACCTCCTCGGGCCTCAGTTTTCTATTTGCAAAATGAAACTGTTGCAAGGTTCCTCTACCCCAGGGATCACCAACCCTCACTTTTCATCAGGATCCATCACCTGAGTTTTTTGGTGTTTTTTTTAAAATGTGATTGTCCAGGTCCTTCCCCAGCGATACCAGCGATTCCATTGTGCAGCCAGGGTCGAAATCCCAGTTGCTCTCACTCTGGGATAAAATTGAGAGTAGCGATCAGTCACATGAATGCAGCGCGGTCTTAAAAGGGCTAGGATAGCCGAAACCGGTTTGGCTCAGTGGTAGAGCCTCGGTCTGCGGACTAAAAGGTCCCAGGTTCGATTCCGGTCAAGGGCATGTACATTGGTTGCGGGCACATCCCCGGTGGGGGGGTGTGCAAGAGGCAGCTGATTCATGTTTCTCTCTTTACTTTTCTAGCTCTCTGTCTTTCTCCCTTCCTCTCTGTAAAAAAAAATCAATAAAATATATATTTTTTTTAAAAAGGTAGGATAAAATACCAGGCAAAGATCATGAGTGGATGCTAAAAGCTTTGGGTGCAGAGGTAGTGGAACACTTGATATTTACACGACTCTAATAGTCATCTGAATTACAAAGGAAAACACGTTTACAATGAAAGGATCTGGTAGGCATCTCCCTAATCAAGCCCAACCGTGACCACCACACCTTACTGTCTCCACTAGTGAGACTGGCATACATTCGGCTATAACAAGGTTCACTCACCTCTGCAGTATTCCTGCCAAAAAGAACCTGCATCAGTTCCTAAGGAAACAACCAGCACATCCAGAATTAGGGATATTCTATGAAGTAACTGGTCTGGATTCTTCAAAAATGTCGTCATCTTGCCTGGCCGTTGTGGCTCCATGATTGAGTATCAACACATGAACCAGGTGGTTACCGTTTGGCCCCTGATCTGGGCACAGGCCCGGGTTGCGGGCTCAGTCCCCAGTGGGGGATGTGCAGGAGGCAGCCCATCCATGATTCTCTCATCATTGATGTTTCTATATCTCTCTCCCTCTCCCTCTCTGAAATCAATAAAAATATATATTTTTTTAAATGTCAGTGTCATGAAAAAAATTTTCCTAGATTAAGAGACTAAATGGATATGACAACCAAATACAAGGCATAATTTTAAAAATATATATATTTTATTGATTTTGTACAGAGAGGAAGAGAGAGGGAATGAGAGTTAGAAACATCGATGAGGGAGAATCATCGATCAGCTGCCTCCTGCATACCCCCCCACTGGGGATGTGCCTGCAACCAATGTATAATACATGCCCTTGACCGGAATCAAACCTGGGACCTTTCAGTCCACAGGCCGACGCTCTATCCACTGAGCCAAACCGGTTTCGGCACAAGGCATAATTTTTGATAAATAAATTTAAATTTGGACTATTAATAGTTTTATGTTGGTATTAAATTTCCTGAATGTGACATACATATTTTGGTTATGTAGGAGAATATTGAAGTATATAAGGTCAGGTGCCACAATTACTAAATTTTAAATGGATCAGCCATAAATGGTTCCTCTCTATTCTCCTCTAAAATCAACAAAAGTATATTCTAAAATAATGATAATAAAATATTGTACAAGTAATAAAAAGCACATTTAGAAAAGATGCAAGAAATGGAACCATGAAGTTGACCCAGCCGAAAGTCTGACTCAGAGGGCCACTCGTGGGGGAGGTGGTGAAGGTGTGTCAGCCGTGCCCATCGAGTGCACATTCTTTGGTGCCATTACCAGGACCGGAGTCTGCAGTTACTGGGTTATGGCAGTGTTTCTTAATCTTCAGTCACTTTTGCACTTAAAGCATTTGACACTAATGCATTTACACTAAATACATTTTAAAGAAGGCCTTACAGATGGTATGATGCAATCAAGAATGTGATAGAAATTCCCTGATTCCGTATTTCCAGCTCAGTTTGTGATTTCCCAATGAGAGGACTTAACATTGTTTATAGTGACATAAACTAGCATAGCCCTTTCCAGCTCACAGTGCTTCCTCCTCACAGCCCCTGAGGAGGCGGCGTCCCCCCAGGTGATGGCTGGAAAGGCCGAGGCTCAGAATTCAGGGATAAGCAAGAGCACCGAGAGGAACAAATACTTGAAATCGTGTCCTTTTCTTCTGAAGGGCAGAACTCTGCCTTCTCTGGTCCTGATTCTCATCTGTGGGATGGAGAGGATGCCCACGCGGAGGGTTTGTTGTGAGGATTAAATGAGATAGTGTTTTAAAACATTTATTGTGGAGCACAAATTGCCAGTTATAGTCACAGGGATGCCAAGTTCAGCACAGGGAATATAGTCAATAATACTGTAATACCTACGTATGGTGCCAGGGCGATCACTTTGTAAGGTATGGAAATGTCTAGTCGCAATGTTGTACACCCGAAATGAATACAATAGTGTATGTCAATATTGAAAGTTAACTCTTTCTTTTAAAATATATTTTATTGAGCCGAGACCCGTTTGGCTCAGTGGATAGAGCGTCGGTTTGGGGACTGAAAGGTCCCAGGTTCGATTCCGGTCAAGGGCATGTACCTTGGTTGCGGGCACATCCCCAGTGGGGGGTGTGCAAGAGGCAGCTGATCAAAATCAATAAAATATATATTTTTTAAAATAAAAATTAAATAAATAAAATATATTTTATAGATACTTTATAGAGAGGAAGGGAAAGGGATAGAGAGTTAGAAACATCAATGAGAGAAACATCGATCAGCTGCGTCCTGCACGCCCCCTACTGGGGATGTGGATGCAACCAAGGTACATACATGCCCTTGAGTCGGAATCGAACCTGGGGCCCTTGAGTCCACAGGCCAACGCTCTATCCACTGAGTCAAACCAGTCAGGGCGAAAGGTAAGTCTTTTAAAGAGACATTAAAAAAAATATATATATATATATATATATTTTTTTTTTTAATTGACTTTTCACAGAGAGGAAGAGAGAAGAATAGAGTTAGAAACATCGATGAGAGAGAAACATCGATCAGCTGCCTCCTGCACACCCCCCACTGGGGATGTGCCCACAACCAAGGTACATACCCTTGACAGGAATCGAACCCAGGACCTTTCAGTCCGCAGGCCGACGCTCTGTCCTCTGAGCCACACCGGTTTCGGGTAAAGAGACGTTTTTTATAGGTTCTCACTCCAGTGGTAGGTGGCAGAGGTGCCATTAAGCTTTTCTACGACGTCTTTTCACACCCAGCATGGCCCGTCTGCCCGGTGTTCGTTCATTCGGTATGCACGCCGCACATGGCCCAGTGAGAGCTTAGCAGACGCTGTGCCGGTGTTCGGATGTCCCCTCCTGGTGGGTTTGGAGGGAGGAGGGCCAGTGACCGAGGCGAAAAGATAGGTGACCGCATTGTTGGCCCTGAAGCCGAGTGGTTTGAGCGGCGGTGCCTTCGCTTGGCCAGTGGATGTGTCCTTGGCCAGCGTTTGGCTCAGACGCTGTGGGTTATGTTATTCCAGGGCGGCCGCCAGAGGAGTATCCGTGAGGAGAGCCCTGCAGTAAATCCTCCCGTAATGTACACACACGCCATTTGTTTTTATAAATCCAGAATGTTTAACATTCTTTTATCCTGGCACACATACTCATGAAAGCGGCGCTGTCAGTATCGTGGTTGTGAAAGACATAAACATGCAATTTTGACATCTCTTCCGAGGAAGACACTATGCCCATAGTTACCAAATTTTTTTAAAAAAATATATTTTTTATTGATTTCAGAGAGGAAGAGAGAGCTAGAAACATCAGTGATGAGAGAATCGTTGATCCACTGCCTCCTGCACATCCCACACTGAGGATTTAGCCCACAACTGCCTACAGCCCCGGGCATGTGCCCTGATTGGGGATCGAACCGTGACCTGGTTCACAGGCCCACGCTCATCCACTGAGCCACGTCAGCCGGGCAACTTACCAAATTTTAAGGGGCTTAGAATTTTGTATGTTTAAGACTAGAGGGCACTCATTCTGTAAAGATTGATTTATTGTGTTAATAGTTAACCAATTCACTAGGTTCAAAATCATGAGTTTCAATTTTTAAAATATATGTTTCTTATTGATTTTAGAGAAAGAGCGAGAGAGGGGGCATTGATTTGTTGTTCCACTTCCGTATGCATTCATTGGTTGGTTCTTGTATCTGCCCTGATGCCCTGACTAGGGATCCGATCCGAAACCTTGGCATCTGCATTCGACACTGTAACCAGATGAGCTATCCATCCAGGGCTCTGCCGGCACTTTTAATGTCACCTTCTTGTAGGAGATGAATGTATAAACACTGAGGTTTTCTAAGTGACCTTGTCCGATCTGCCTCTGCTTTTCTTTTCTTTTTTTAAATATATTTTATTGATTTTTTTACAGAGAGGAAGGGAGAGAGATAGAGAGCCAGAAACATCGATGAGAGAGAAACATCGACCAGCTGCCTCCTGTACACCCCCTACCGAGGATGTGCCCGCAACCAACGTACATGCCCTTGGCCGGAATCGAACCTGGGACCCTTCAGCCCGCAGACCGAAGCTCTACCACTGAGCCAAACCGGCTTTGGCTGCCTCTGCTTTTCTTCCGCCTCTGAGATAGCAACGGGGGAGCCCTCAGTGCCTCCCTCTGCTGAGACAGAGGTCTGCTTCCTGCTTGGGGCACATTTGTAGGATTCTTCATTGAGGTCCGCCTCTGCTCCTTAAAACCTGACCGCCTTTCCAGCGAGCCCTCACCTTTCAGAAGCTGTTCCTACAGCCACGGCCTTGTTCTGGCTTCTTCCTGCACGTGTACCCCCATCTTCGCTCTTCCTGCAGCTCCTCCACCTCTTTCATGGTATCTAGCTGGGTTTTCCCTTCGCCAAAAATGGAGTTTGCGGTTTTGTTTCTTATTCTGTTGGATAATTTCCAGGGAAGCGGGGGGATGTGAGTTGATGCCAACATCTTCAAACCCGCAGTGTAATTACGGGTTTGGTATCTCACTCCCCAGAACAAGAAAGGAGGACGTTGTGTGGTTGGCAGTGGCCTCTCCGTTTAGAGAAGACACAGGGAGAGAATGGCTCCCTCCCGCCCCCAGGGCCGTGGTTTCTGCCTGGAAGCCAGCACGGAAGGCAGGCGGCGGCAGTCGCCTCTGAGCCTCGTCCTTGGTCTGTGGTTGAAGGCGCTGTCGGGACCTTTCTCTAGACGCGGCTCCTCCGGGACAAAGACTTGCATTGATTTGCAGAAGCGCCGTGTGGTGTGGCTGCCTGGACGCCTCGCCCCTCGGAGGTCCCACAGAGCGAGTGGGACCCGGGCCGCTGGCTGGCCCTCGGGCCGGCGCTCCGGCCACGGCGCTCAGGGCCAGGTGTGCAGGCACAGCGCTGGGCTCCGTTCCCTGGTCAGTGTGCGCACGTGGTGGGCCTGCGTCTCTGCTCCGTGTCTCTCGGTCTTTCCCAGGTCAGAGGCCGCCTCGATTGGGAGGCCAAACGCTAAGACTCTTCTTCCTAAAGCGTAGCACGCATGCCCATGGCTCTGCACTCGTTTCTGGGTTCATTGCCAACCTGAAGTCTGAGTGGCCTCTCTGAAGCCATGGCTTCGGGTGAGGAACCTCCACTTGCTGTGTTGGGGGAGGAATGGGCACTGCTTGCTCCTTGCCAAGAGTCTGGACACAAGTCTGCGGGGAAGTTCCCCTTGATTTATATTCACTCTCATTTAATATCCACGTTCATTCTGTCCTCCTTTGCCAGGATTAATCAAGAACTGCCTGGTATACCTAATGCTAACACAGTGTCACCTATCAATTACAGCTCAGTTAAAAATAGAAAAAGATGCCGAAGCCAGTTTGGCTCAATGGTAGAGCGTCGGTCTGCGGACTGAAAGGTCCTGGGTTCGATTCCGGTCAGGGGCATGTACATTGGTTGCGGGCACATCCCCGGTAGGGGGTGTGCAGGAGGCAGCTGGTCGATGTTTCTCTCTCATCGACGTTTCTAGCTCTCTATCTCTCTCCCTTCCTCTCTGTAAAAAATCAATAAAATATATTATAAAAAAAAAGAGAGAGAGAAAGATTGTTTTCTCATTTTACTGTGAGTCTTGTTGAAATCTCTTCTGTTTCTAAAATTCTTGGCTCATTGGGCTGTTCTTGGACAAATTCTGTATCTTCCTTTTGCCGGTCAGAGTTGACTAGACCTGTATATTGTTAGAGTATCTAATTTATCTACAAATTTTTTTAAATGTTGTATTCTCTCCACTCTATTCTTTCGTAATTAAAATCAGAGAATGACAAGAGAGGCCCTTGGTCACGAAGTACTTGCCTGCCTGCTCCCAGTACTTCCCTGCCGTGCCCGTGTGCAGCACGGACGGGAGTTCTCCTGGCGCCTGGCTATCAGTGCCAGCCCACGGCAGTCAGCCCCTCCCGGAGGCTCCCTGAGCACATCCTGACTAAGCAGGAGCAGAACCTTCCTCACGGCCTCTGTGTTGTTTAATTGATAATGTTTGTGAAATTACTCTGCCTCATTTTATTTCTGGGACATACCAGTGAAGTGTGTGTTGTTTTATTTAAATATATTTTTATTGATTTCAGAAAGGGAGAGGGTTAGAAAGAAACATCAATGATGAGAGAGAATCATCCATCGGGTGCCCCCTGTACGCCCCCCCAGCCCCCACCCGGGATCCAGCCTACAACCCAGGCATGTGCCCTCAGCTGGAATCGAACCTGGGGCCCTTCAGTCTGCAGGCCTATGCTCTATCCACTGAGCCAAACCGGCGAGGGCTGAAGTGTGCTTTAAAAAAACATACTGGTGGATTTAAATTTTTGAAAGTTGCCTTTGTTCGATTTGGGTTAAACAAAACTTAACAGAATTAATTTTAATTGAATTTAAAAGCCATTTCAGAGGAATTTTCACTTAAATTTGCTCATGAGCTTTTTACATTAAGAGCTCTACTCCTTCAATTCTGCTTAATATGGAGACGCTAGTGTCTGTTTTCGCTGACTTCAGGGCTGTGAGGTGGGAGTGGGAGACACAGTGCCCAGCACCTTTAGCACTGAGGCTGCGGCCAGAGTTCCGCTGAGGAGAGGGCCTGGTGAAAGCTTCTCGAGTGACGAGAGGAAATGGAAGGCAGACAGATTTAAACACCAATGCTTTGAACTACAGGTCATTCTTCCTGTTTTTCTTTTCTTTTTTTCTAGTTTTGTTGTCAACTTCCTATCATGTTATGGTTTGGCAGCAGTCCCACTACACTTCTGAAGGTCATTGAAGAAGCGCATTGTTTTGTGTTTATTGTAGAATCTCTGTGCTGGGTGATGCTGTCTAATCTCCTCATTCCTTTTCCTCTTCACACCCCCCACCTCACCCGGAGCAGTTGACACGGTGAGGTTCCTGGACAGAAAGAAACCGCCCGATTGAGAGAGCGAAGTGAATGTCCGTGTTATCTCACTTGGAAGTCATCTTCCGATAAGCGGAGGTGCTGTGGGATGGTGTGTGAACCAGGGCTTTGGCCTTGACCTTCGGCCAGCGGACGGACGTGGGGACAGGAAGCTGGGGAAGATGCCTGCCACTGTGCCGCCAGGGAGGCCAGGCCACGGGGCTGGCGCGGAGTTCAGTGGCTCCTGCACGGGGAATGCGCCGTCACTGTCGTCAGCACCGAGAGACCCTGAGACAAGGGTCTATTTTATCGCATTCATTCACATGGGGGAGGGGGCTCTGCCATGCGCCCGGCCCTTCCCTGCCCTCTGAATGCAGGCTTTGTCGGGGCTCTCTGCTGGAAACCTGGGTGGGTGGGCTGTGCCCAGCCTGGCCTGTAATTAGCAGTACCCCCCCTCGCCCGACCCGCCTTCTCCCCTGGCCCCCTGGCGTCCAATCTTGGTGACTGTCAGTGCTTGGTGAATGTCTGCGCCTTGGAACAAACTGATGGGGAGAGAGGCTCGCTTTGCTAACGAACAAGGTGGCCGAAGGGACCTCGTTTGACGGGCAGCTGCCTCTCTTCCCAGGAGATGCTCTCGGGCGTGGTGGTGGTCAGCGGGAAGGACCCCGTGCAGCACCAGGGCCTGTTCCTGACCGTGGAAGGCGCCGTGAACCTGCAGCTCAGCGCCAAGAGCGTGGGCGTGTTCGAAGCCTTCTACAACTCCGTGAAGGTAGGCCCCGGTGCCCGGCGGGTGCAGTGCTCCTGGGTGTGGCGTGTTCACTTGTCTGTGTTCTGCGGGCTGTGGTGACAGTCATCCTGAGATTGGGAGCCGCTGGCTTCGTTCCCGCTGGATAGAAGCCGAGAGCCGTACGGGCTGAGCGGCGGGACAAGGCCAGCGCTCCTGGCGGTGTGCGTGGTCCTGCCCGCGCCCCCTCTGGTGCGCCCGCCCTGGCCCGGGCACATGGCGACTGGACCTGCCTGCCGTGCGGGAGGGCAGTGGCCACCCTTTCGGGTGGATCCCGGATTCCGGAATGTGCCCTCTTTCTGTAGTTATAGTTTCCTCTCCCTGAGGACATACTGGCTTTCACATAGGGGGCCTGAGGGGAGAGGAAAGGGGCTCTAACCGCAGCCCCGCAGGGCCGCCATGTTTTCTACGTCAGCTCTCGGGTGTCAGCCAGGCCGGGCCTGCCTCTCGGTGAGGAGAACGGAGCCTGGGGCTGAGCAGGCCCAGCGGCGGACTGAGCTTCTCTCCGCAGCCCATCCAGATCATCAACAGCACCATCGAGATGGTGAAGCCCGGCAAGTTCCCCGGCGGCCGGACCGAGGTCCCCTTTGAGTTCCCGCTGCTCGTGAAGGGCAACAAGGTGCTGTTCGAGACCTACCACGGAGTGTTCGTCAACATCCAGGTGCGCCCCGCGGCAGCCTGACCGCCCCCGCTGGGCTGCTGCCCCGAGAACGGGGGTGGCCGGAGTGCAGCCTGACTGCCCCCGCTGGGCTGCTGCCCTGAGAACGGGGGTGGCCGGAGTGCAGCCTGACCGCCCCCGCTGGGCTGCTGCCCCGAGAACGGGGGTGGCCGGAGTGCAGCCTGACCGCCCCCGCTGGGCTGCTGCCCCGAGAACGGGGGGGGCCGGAGTGCAGCCTGACCGCCCCCGCTGGGCTGCTGCCCCGAGAACGGGGGTGGCCGGAGTGCAGCCTGACCGCCCCCGCTGGGCTGCTGCCCCGAGAACGGGGGTGGCCGGAGTGCAGCCTGACCGCCCCCGCTGGGCTGCTGCCCCGAGAACGGGGGGGGGGGCCGGAGTGCAGCCTGACCGCCCCCGCTGGGCTGCTGCCCCGAGAACGGGGGTGGCCGGAGTGCAGCCTGACCGCCCCCGCTGGGCTGCTGCCCCGAGAACGGGGGGGCCGGAGTGCAGCCTGACCGCCCCCGCTGGGCTGCTGCCCCGAGAACGGGGGTGGCCGGAGTGCAGCCTGACCGCCCCCGCTGGGCTGCTGCCCCGAGAACGGGGGTGGCCGGAGTGCAGCCTGACCGCCCCCGCTGGGCTGCTGCCCCGAGAACGGGGGTGGCCGGAGTGCAGCCTCACTGCCCCCTGCTGGGCTGCTGCCCCGAGAACGGGGGTGGCCGGAGTGCAGCCTGACTCCTGCGGGACCCCGAGTGTGCCCAGCTCCGCGCCTCGCCTCCCGGGCCCCGCTTCCTGTGACCACTGTGTCCGGGGAGCCGGAGGGCCCGGGCCGCACTTCCCAGCGCCCTGGTGCCCGCCCTGCAGCCGCGCTGTGAGGGCGCGTTCACTGGGTAATGGATAGGCCTCCTCCCGGCCCGCCAGCCTGTCTGCTCCTCCGCACAAGCACCTCTTTGTTCAGCACCGGAGGCCGTTGCGTTAGCAGAGGCTGATTCTCCACTGAACAAACCTTGTCCACGAGGGGAAGTGAGTTTATGACTTCCTGTCCGCCCCTGGGCTTCTGGGTGTCTCTCACAGTTGCCATTGTCTCCGAGTTTGGAGGCATGACTGTGGGGGGGGGGGACTTCCCTTCGGTCAGTGGCAGGAAGGGTACTTTTTTTAAAGAAAGGTACTTTTCTGATGTCAGTCCTGCTGCCCCCACCCCCACCCCCGCTAAATGAGAGGAGACACTTGTTGTTTATGTGCAAAAGGGTGAAGCTAGGAACTTTTTTATTTCATAATAAAGTTTTAGCCGATAACTTGGTCTCGGTAGAGACCATTCCCCGGCCAGTCACCCTGTTTACAGTTAAAAGTGCCTTTGTAGGCGTCTGTGGGTGCGTGTCTTCTTGCTTCACGCCTGTCGATGTTGTGTTCACTGATGGTCGGAAAAGATGGGACCTGCACCTCCTTTTGGTGCCTGCTCCAGCCTGCCCAGGCCGACCTCCTGCCCCCATGCCCCGATCACACCGCAGCGATGGGGAGAGATCGCGATGGGGAGAGATCACGATGAGCGGGGAGGCAGGGCTTTGCAGACAAGTCTGAGCTCCAGTTACAGAACTGCGTCAGGACTCGGAGCGTGGGCTCCTGCCACCGGCAGGTATGACTTCAGAGCCCACCCCGGGAACCCCCGTGCAGTACAGTCTTCACGGCCTCTCCTAGGGTTAACTGGCATGGAGTGCTCTAGGCCCAGTGCATGAATTCGTGCACTGAGTGGCCAGAGTATTATGCGTTCAGAGATCATAGCTATCTGGCCGCTCAGTGCAGATGGTCACTGAATGACTGAGTGAGTTACTGTGCCTGCCCTTGCCCTAACAGTCCTTACCCTGTGCTGTTAGAACTGAGATGGTAGTCTGCGTGTAACCCCGTTCCCGTTCCCGTACGAAGCATCAGCATTTCCCTCCTCCCCCCTTTGCCCAGCCCTTCCTGACTTACCACCAGCTGCCTTGTATGCTAATTACTGCTTTCACGCTTAAAAAACATTGTGACCGAAAGTTAGGGCCTGCTAGTCACACCCTTTTATTTGCAAGTTATAGAAATCCAATTCGAGCTGACTCAGTCAAAACAGAGATGTGGACCACAGAACTAGCACTCCCAGGTCAGATCCAGGCAGGTCTCCCCTTGCGGGGGCCCCCCCCCCCCCCGTCTGCCCTTGCAGGTACCACCGCCTCTGCTCAGTGCCTGCTCCTCCTCACCCTCGCTCTGTGCTGCGGGCGGGACCCTGCACCCCGGTCCGCAGCTCCAACCACAGGGCGGCTGTGGGAATCGGCTGAGGAGTAACCTTACCGTGTGTTCTTAAATATAGAAACGCCTTTATTCTGAGCATTAAGTCACCCTCTGTGCATGCTGATTTCAGATACACTTCCGTTAGACTGAGTTTTCCTGAAACCCTGACTGGTGTCCTTGAATAGCCTAAGAGGAAACGATGGCACTAACGCCGCTCGCTTCCCGTCCCTGCAGTACACGCTGCGCTGCGACATGAAGCGCTCGCTGCTGGCGAAGGACCTGACCAAGACCAGCGAGTTCATCGTGCACTCGGCGGTGAGCGGCGGCCGGCGTGTGCTCCGGGAGGGTCAGCTGAGCCGCCAGCGAGGGGTCCTTCCCGCGCCCGCGTCCCTGGTGGTGCCAGGGCCTGCGTGGCGCTGACCTGGGGGGTTGTGCCCGTTGAGGAGTCCCAGCACGCAGGCCTCGCTGACGGGCAGCGCTGGCCTCGGGGTGACACCTGGTGGCATGGTCGTGCTCACGGCCCTGGGTCCGTGTCCCCCGCGGCTGCCGTGTGGGTGGGCCTTCCCTGGCCGGCCGCACGCTGCCCCCAGCCCACATCTCCGGCGGCCTCGTTCCCTCGTGCGTTCAGAGCCACGCACCCTGCCTCTTGGTGCCGAGCTCCTCCGGGCTCACCAGGCTGCCCTCCTGTCTCCAAAGAGGGAGGAAGTCTGGCCCGCTGAGCTCTTGGGCCTCAGCCCTGAGTGTGGTTTCCCTCCTGCCGCAGCCTCAGAAGGGGAAGCTGACTCCGAGCCCCGTGGACTTCACCATCACGCCCGAAACCCTACAGAACGTCAAAGAGGTACATGTGTCGTGTCCGTCGTCGTTGTCCGCCCCCGGTGCCAGCGGTGCCTGCTGAGCAGCTGAGCCCCTGCAGACTGCCGAGAGGAAAGGCCTGGTCATCGTCTGTACCCCAAGCAGTCTGGCTTTAAACTCAGAAACTACTTAGAAGACTCATACTGTGAAGTTTCTTAGGATAGGTGTTTATTATTTCTCACATCTTCTAGTTTTGCGCTTTGGTTAGACTCTTCCCTTCCCTTGAGCCCAGTGCCCACCGCCTACGAGTGTCCACCTGTCTCTTCTCCTCCACGGCCACAGCTGTGCTTCCCGCTCCCCCGCAGCCTGTCCCGGGCCTGTTGGTCAGTCGGGTGGAGGACAAGCTTGGGGCGGGGCTCCCAAGTGAGGCCAGCCTCTTCCCGCAGAGCCACAGCTGACGGGCGTGTGGGGCCTTCAGAAAGTCCATGGCCACCACTTCGGAGAGCGCACCCCCAGGGGCCCGCAGAGGAGAGAGCGGGGACCGTGCGGGTGGGGATGGGCCCTGGCCCCCTCTACGACCTCACCCTCCCTGAGAGCTCCCAGGGCCGTTCCGTCAGCCCCCTTTTCCTTCATTCCGTTAGAACGGTCTGAGTCTTACTTGTGAAGAATCTACATGCTAGGAAATGTGTGACAGCTGGAGGGAATTGGCGGTGAGGGATAAAAGCAGCCAGTGCTGTCCCTCCGCACCTGGCCCGACGGAGCATTCTTCTTGGTTTGAAAACCGGCCCATTGTACTCCGTCCACCTTGCCTGGACTCTGGCAGACTGTGCTGCCCCACTTTTCCTCATTCTTTAAGGCTGTTTGTTTCTTTCTGTCCTGAGTGGTGCTTGTTCCTTTTTCCTCTGGCATCCTGTTTCTCCTTTCCCAGTAGCTACTCTTAAGCGTTCAGATACACGTGGGCGTTCTGAGTACATAACATTGAGAAGCCGCTCCTCTGACAGAGGCTCGTAACGCTTTTGCGTTTTCTTCTCATCACGCCGCCTTGCTTGTTGTGTCTGAAATCGAAGTCCCGTTATCGCGGCTTCATTTCCCCAGGGGTATTGGCTACAGACAGCTTCGTCATGTGGCCTGAAGTTTCCGTACATTCCGCAGTCTTCACAGTAAGTTTTACCGTGGTCATTGCTCGCCATTGATTCTACTCACTTGTGTTTCCTCCTTTTTTCAACTTGGTCCTCGTTTAGCTGGAATACATCCTGGAGTCATTCTGTCAGAAGGGGTGAGGAGTGAGCGTGAACCCTTGAGTGGCTGGAAACCCCCTTCCTTTGCTCCCACACTTGAATTGTAGTCTAGGTAGAAAAGTCCAGCTCTGATATCATTTGCCCTGAAATAGTTCCCTGGGTTCCTAGTGCCCAGTGATACGGGTGACAGTCTGGTCCTCATGTTTGTGGGCGCTGCTGTGATTCCTCTCCCTTATCCCTCCTCTCCTACGCACTCCCAACCTCGCCCGTCCCTGTGCTGGGGAATGTCAGGGCACTCGCCCAGGCTTGGATCTGGCATTCAGTGTCTCCTGCACGGCGAGGCCAGCCTGCCTTCAGTCCTGGGAATGTCTCAGATGTCATTTCCCGGACGCATCCCAGAAGCCCTGATCTGATCGCTTGTCCGGGTATTAGCGCTCCGGGTGGAATGCTCTCACCGCTGTTCCTTCCTGCCTGGGGCTCCTCCCCCACGCGGGCCCTTCCTTTCATCCCCTCCTGTGGGCGCTGTTCCCTGGGGTGGTTCTTTCTCAGAGTGCGCGCCTCCTTTCCTTGCTCTTGTTTTCCTCACCTGTGTCTGGGTTCTTGGTTACTAGACTGTGTTTGTAGATGAGGGTCTGAGGCGGATGGTCTCGTTAGGCTCTGTCCTTGGCTTGGCCCGGAGAATCTGTTCCCGTTACAAACGCACTCGGAGCTGTGGCGGAGGGGGCTGGCCTGGAGCTTCTTTCAGGGTCGGGTCGCAGGGGGCTTGTCTGTGGGTGGCGGGCTCCTGCCTGGGCCGCAGTAACTGGGGACACTGGCCCTTCCTTGCCCAGCTGCCGTGGGCGTCTCCTTGGTGGGAAGTCCCTTCAGGGAAGCTGCAGGCCACCTGGGCGAGGGCCAGCGGCAGAGGCTGCCTGAGGCCAGCTGCCCACCTCTGGCATCACCTGGGAGCCCGCTGGCTGCCCCTGCCCAGTGCCCCCGCCTCTGGTCTGACTATGCCCAGCGCCTCTGGGCACCCGGCCCAGTGCTCTGCCCGCTGAAGGCTGCAGCCCCTGACCTGGTGGCGTCATGGCAGCCACAGGCTCAGGAACGCCCTGGGTGGCCTGGTGGGCCTCGGTGGCGCCGTGGCTCTGCCGGGCGGGGCTGTTTGGCGTGCGTGGTCTCACCGTGCTGGGCCGGGCGGGCCGCTGGCAGCTCCTCCATCGGACCCTGAGAGCTTTTCACTGTTCGTCTGCCGAGGAGCGTCCGTGTGGTGCACCGGCGCTCACCTTCCTAAACAAGAGCTGCTTGTACTTCAGTTATTTTTAGGACGCGGGCCTGAATGAAGACTTCATCCCGGCTCCCTGCTCCTCAGCCCCAGGCTGTGCTCCCAGTGGGCGGCCCGGCCACAGTGGCCGCTGCCTGAGTGAGACGCGCTGGGGCAGGACTGGGAGTCGGCCTCAGCCCGAGAGGGAACGTGACGTCGGACTTTTCAGACGTCGTATGTGGACGTGATGCTGATACACTGGCTGATTTACCCGGTCCCTTCACTTCTTAGAATGTGGCCACTGGAACATTTAAGTTATGTGTGTGGTCGCATGTGTGGCTCGCGTTAAGTCTGTGCTGGACGGTGGTCTAGCTCCGGATTATCTCCAGCGACCGGGACCCGTCCGAGGGGGAGGCGCGGCCAGAGTGGGGCCTCCTCACCTGCTTCCCGCCATCCCTCCCGGGCCCAGCCTCCGCCCACAGGCCCGGCTCCCAGCCAGCACGGACACTGTTCTCTGCGTTTCCAAAATGTGTGGACTTGCCAAAACTATTGCACAGAACATCCTGAGTTCTTTTGTGAAAATATTTTTTTATTGATCCTTTTTTTTTTTTTTTTTTAAAGAGAAACAGAAACATTGATGAGAGAGAAAGTGAATCAGCTGCACGCCCCTTACTGGGGAGCAAGCCCAAAACCCAGGCACGTGCCCTGACCAGGACTCGAACCTGTGACCTCCTGGGTCGACACTGTACCAGCCGGGCTTAAATTATTATTTTTTTAACTTTTTGGCGTGACTAGTTGAGTTAAATACTTCTTAGCCGCTTTTACACGCCTTTTCCTCCGCGAGGAGCTCTCAGCCTGACGGTGCAGTGCGGTGGCCGAGACGGGAGCCTGGGATGGGGGGTGGGGGGGGGTGCAGGGCTGCGTCTGCAGGAATTCGGGGGCAGTTAGGTTGACAGATGAACACTCGTCTCCCTTTTCCCCGTTTGGTAAAGCAGGGTCCCCGTGGGTTTTATCAGAATTACCGTCTTTGTTTTCCGTTGTTGTTTATCCTAATTGACTGGAGTCACTCCCAGCCCTGACGCCCTCTCTCCGTCTCCTGCCAGAGAGCCCTGCTCCCCAAGTTCCTGGTCCGCGGGCACCTCACCTCCACCAACTGCGCCGTCACGCAGCCGCTCACGGGCGAGCTGGTGGTGGAGAGCTCGGAGGCCGCTGTGCGCAGCATCGAGCTGCAGCTGGTGCGCGTGGAGACCTGCGGTGAGGCCCCGCGGGGAGCACGGTGGGGGGAGGGAGGCCTCCGGAGCCCGGGGAGCACGGGGAGCACGGCGGGAGGGATGCCTCCGGAGCCCGGGGAGCATGGGAGGGGGGAGGCCTCCGGAGCCCGGGGAGCACGGCGGGAGGGAGGGGGGAGGCCTCCGGAGCCCGGGGAGCACGGGAGGGGGGAGGCCTCCGGAGCCCGGGGAGCACGGCGGGAGGGAGGCCTCCGGAGCCCGGGAGGGGGGAGGCCTCCGGAGCCCGGGGAGCAGGGCGGGAGGGGGGAGGCCTCCGGAGCCCGGGGAGCACGGGGAGCACGGCGGGAGGGAGGCCTCCGGAGCCTGGGGAGCACGGGGAGCACGGGAGGGGGGAGGCTCCGGAGCCCGGGGAGCACGGCGGGAGGGAGGGGGGAGGCCTCCGGAGCCCGGGGAGCACGGGAGGGGGGTGGTCCCCACGGTCCTCGTGCTCACAGCGCCTGATGGCTGTGGGGGTCTCTGACCGCACGGGGCCCCCAGGCTGTGCGGAAGGCTACGCCCGGGACGCCACGGAGATCCAGAACATCCAGATCGCCGACGGGGACGTCTGCCGGGGCCTCTCGGTGCCCATCTACATGGTCTTCCCCCGGCTGTTCACCTGCCCCACGCTGGAGACCACCAACTTCAAAGTGGGTGAGTGCGCTCCCGCCCAGTCCGGGGGGGCGGGGGCCGGGGCGGGGGCCGGCGGGGGCTGGGAAAGGGGCCAGGCCAGCGCTGTGCGTGAGGTCAGGGCGGGGACCAGAACATGGCGGTCCCGGGCCGTCGTCACTGCCCGGTTTGTGGGACAGGCGTGTGAGGGCCCGGAGCCTCTCTGTGCCCCATTCTCTGAGCGTGGGGACCCGCCCAGGGCCGTTGTGTCCTGTCGATGTCACTTCCCCCAAATCCTGAGGTGCGCTGTCTAGTCCGGAGAGAACCCTGGGCTTTACATTAGACAGGAAAGCCCATGAGCTCACTTGCACCCCTTCCACACAGCGTAACCGAGTGCGTGTCACCCCAGGGGGAGTGCTGGGCGAAGGGGGGTGTCGGCCGCACTGGACCCGGGCCTCCGACCTTTGTCTTCTCAGAATTCGAGGTGAACGTCGTGGTGCTGCTTCAGGGCGACCACCTCATCACCGAGAACTTCCCCCTGAAGCTCTGCCGCGTGTAGCAGAGGGAGAGAGGAGGAGGAGGAGCTGGAGCCGGAGCCGGAGGAGGAGCCGGAGCCGGAGCCGGAGCCGCCGCAGCCGGTCCTCAGTGATCCGGGCAGGCGTGGACCTGACCCCCCGGGTCCCGGTCACCTCCTTCCTCGTGTCCTCCGCGCGCCTGCCCCCGGCGGCGCCTGCTCCGGCCTTTCCTTTGAGAGCCATCGGATGCTCCGTGTTCTTGGCAAGTCATTCCCCAGGACTCCGACTCCCAGCTGCTCGTGAGGGACCGAGGACGGGTCTGCCACGGTGTGAGCTTCGCTGGGTCAGGTCCCGGCTGCCCGGCTGCCACCCCAGGGCCCTGCCGGCAGGGACGGGCGGAGGGGGCTCCTTGCCGGTGGTGCCTGCAGTGGCCTCCACTGCCGGTGCAGGCGTGTGTGCCACACGGCCCTGTGGTCGCCCACATTTTTCACGAGAACTTGACAGTGGCCTTGCTGTCTGGGAGTGAGGGAGCTGGTGACAGTGGCCGAAGTAGTAAGTCTCAGGACCTGGTATAAAATCTTGTGCCACCGTATTCCCAGAATGCACTTCCATGCCAGCTTACGTGAGGGGCACACGTGTCCACATACGTTCTGGCTAGTGCCAGGACGGTGCCCTGGACCGAGGAACCCGGCCTCTCTGCGCCCGGGACCTGTGCCAGTCAGACCCCGCTGGTTCAGGGCGTGCTGAGCTGTTACACCCACTGCTGCCCCCTCCCACCCCCGCCCCCGTCCTGCACTCTGCCCACAGCACCCACGGTCCTCGGAGTCAGCCCTGGCTCTGCGGGCCTCCCCGCCAGTCCTCCACCGGGACCGGCTCGGGCTGGCGGCCGTGGGCCCCCTCGGCCTCTGACGTGTGGCTGAGGGCCACCAGCCGACTCCGGCCGGGGGACACTGCACAGCCTCCTTTTACGGTCACATGAGCTGTCTGACGTGTTCCCAGTGGCAGAAACAGAGGCTATGCTTTCTGGTAAATTTCAAAGGTAGAAACAACTTTTAATTAAAAAAACAGCTAATGAGAATTTTGGAAAATGGTTTGGGGTGTGTATTGCTCTATAATTCCTTTACTAAACCAGCTTATGGACGCAGATACAAGTGCTGTCCTGGGGGGTGATTACCTGCAGAGGAGCACAGCCATGTCCTCGGCCAGCATCCCGGGCCAGGGCTCCGGCTGGACGTCCCTCGGCCCCGCGCCTGCCCTGTGATTGCCAGGGGAACTCGGGTGCTGGGTGTCCTGCACAGACCACCGGGGCGCTGGCCCCCACTCAGGCTCAGGGTTGTCACGTTCTCCCGTTCGGCCCGAGGAGAGGAGGAGGAAGGGGAGGCGGAGCCAGGAGAGCACTGTTCTGGAAAGGTCCTCGCACATTCTGGCCGTCAGAGCTCCAGCAGGACGGGGCTCAGTGCCCAGCCACTGTGCTCCAGAGCCGGCGGAGCGAGAAGCAGAATAAAACGTAAAAACGGAAGCACCGCTCCTGGATTTGTGAGCCCGTCCCAGGCCCGCTGTCTGCTAGCTGGGGCCGGAACCTGCTGTCACCCCGAGGAGTCTCACGTCCTGAGTGTCACGGGCCCTTTGGGAACCTGAGCTGCCCCCGGCCAGCATGGCTGGCTGACGCAGGTCACAGGCCCCCCTCCCTCCTGCTCCCCCTCTGGTTCAGAAACCTTGTGTTGCCCAGACCTCGCCCGCCTGGCTAGGGACTTCACTTCCTGTTCTTCGCCTCTAGGTGTGGTCCTGTGACAGGTGAGGGTTCCCCACCTCCCTGCTCGTCCCGGGGAGCGGCCATCTAACAGGCCTGCCTCCTCCGGGCCTCACGCTGACCTGTCTCTGTCCTGTCCCCACCACGGCCTGTCACCTGCGCCCTCCGCCCCCAGTCCGGCCCCCGCTGTGGATCCGCCGGCTCAGGCGGGTGAGTCCGGACACGGAGTGTTTGAGCCCAGGGTTGTGGGACAGGTTTCTGGGAGGGGTGACATGAGGGATGACATGGTGATTGAAGACACAGGCGTCTCAGGCAAACCGTGTCCAGTGCCGGTTCCCGCACGGAGCAGTGTCAGGGCGCGAGGGATCCTGAGGGTCACTCACAGCCGAGCGCAGGGAGCCGAGGCCCGCCCGTCCCCGTCTGCCGGCCGTGGCATCCTGCCGCCCCCGGGTGAACGGGTGGACGGACGGCCCTCCGTCCCCCCTGGCTCTGGAGGGGGAGGAAGCCTGCGAAGGACCTGTTTCCAGGGGAGGCTGTGCTCTCACTGACTCCGGCGGAGAGGAACGGGCAACGCGAACGCCCTGGGGACGCTCGCAGGGAAGCCCCTTCCACTATAATAACTCCGACACGAGGCGCCACAGCCGCCTGAGAGGAAAAGCACCCGGGTCTGAGCTGGAGGGGAGTCTGCCTCCAGGCCCAAGCTCGCACCCCGACCACTGGAGCCGGCTGTCAGACTGGGCGGTGAGCGTTCAGAGAACGCGGCTTCACACAACTCAAGGCCCCGAGCTTATAGCCGCAAAGCTGATCCCACAGCGCTCACACACGGCGTAGTCAGATCCCTGGGGCACGTCATCGATGAGAGGAAAAGGCAGCCACGCGCTGACAACTCTGAGGGGCCTGTACCTGATCCCTCCTGTGATTCGAGAAGCAGGGCTGCTGAGCAGGGCACCCCCATGGCCTTTCCATCACCCCATTCTCGGGGGTCCCCGTCTCCCATCTTGGGTGAGGACTAACGCCTCAAGACCACAGCGTCTGGGTCTGAAGTGACAGGAACGGGAGGAACTTTCTGTCTGCAGATGGGCAGCCACCGGTGGGGCCGCCAGGGGAGGCCCGGCCGCCCAGCCTCGGCGCTGTGTGTGGACACACTGTGAGGAGGGTGTGCTCAGGCTTCCCAGTGGGAAGGAGCAGAAAAATAAATTCTTAAATTATTCTTTTAAGTTTCCACATCAGTATGCATTAAGAAAACCCAAATTCAAAGCTCAATACATCAAAAAGCCCACATTTAAGAAATGAGCTTTTCCTCCTTTTTTACTACCATGTTCCTTTATATTTTACTAAAAATACATATTTCTAATTCATAGGAAATTTGCAACAATCAATTATATATTTTTGCCACAAAGAAGAAATCTCAAATTTTAACAAATAGAAACTGCCCCAAATGCTACACACTCCTTTGTAGTGCAATAAAATTAGAAATTAATAACAAAAGGAAAATCGAATACAATATAAGCACTTGTAAATTATACAACATTCATCAAAGTGGAAACCAAAACTTCATTAATGGGCCCTTTTAAACTTAGTGGAAACGAGCACACCGTACAGTAATAGATTTGCACTATGGCCAATGCTGCAGCCAGAGCCAAATTCATAGCCTTAAATGTTTTTACATCAGAGAGAATGAGAACTAATGAGTTTGACATTCAAATGTTTTATGAAACAATAAAATAATTAGAAAAGAATGATAAAAGCAGGAATTCATTTGAAAGCAGAAACGCTATAGGAAAATGTATAAGGCCATCAGTTGGTACTTTGAAAAGACTAATTCAATTGAAAGATCTTTAATAGAAGAAGAAAAAACGCAGGAAGATGGCGCCGTAGGTAAACACCTATACTCACTGCCTCCCACAGCCACATCAGAATTACAACCAAAATACAGAACCACTGGAAAGCCGGCTGAACGGAAGTCCTACGACCAGAGAAGTGAAGAAAGCACACTGAGACTGGCAGGAGGCACGGAGGCACAGAACTGGCTGGTCCAGTACCCAGGTGTGCCACTCTCTTAATTGGGAGGGAGATCATCTCTGTGGAGGCCAGCCCAGAGGAGCAAGGGGTCCCAGCCCTGCACCGGACCCCCAGCCCAGGGTCCCAGAGCTGGGAAGAGAAATCCCTAAGGGCAGTAAGAACTATGGGCTGTAGAAACCAGTGCGATTGGGGCTCAGTGACACAGAGGCTGCTGGAGACCCAGCTGTTCCTCTTAAAAGGCCGGCACCATGAACTGAACTTACAAGGTCCCACTTCCTCTGTGTCCAGCCCCAGCGTGAGGCTCTGAGGAACACGGACATATGAGGAGGAACTGGTTTGTCTGACATCAGGTCAAGAATTCCGGAGTGGCTTTCTCCCAGAGGGAGGTGTCTCAGGGTTAATTGTTCCTTTCTGGGACCTCCCCACTCGCAGGGCTGACAGGCAGCCATTTCTGTTTGCTCCGTCCCGGTGATTCCCTAAGAACCTGCTTCATCTAATTTACAAACCCACCTCATCATTGATGTTTCCCTCTCTCTCTCCCTTCCTCTCTGAAATCAATTCTTTTAAAAAAAGGAGGAGGAAGAAGGAAAGGACAAAAAATATGAACAACAAAATGGCAACAAATACATACCTATCAACAATTGAATCTAAAAATCAAAATAAATGAATAAGTCTAATGAACAGAATAAGCTGGTGAATAAAATAGAATCGGAGGCATGGAAATGGAACAGACTGATGATTCTCAGAGGGAGGGGGGTGGAGGTGGGGGGTGGGGACAGGAAGAGATTAAACAAAGATCTCCTAAGCATGTCTGCATTACCTATGGACACGGATAACAGGCTGGCGAAGGCCTGGGGCTGGGTGGGATCGGGTGGATGGGGGCCATGGGGGGAGAAGAGGGACATCTGTAATAATCTCAACAATAAAGATTGCAAACAACTACGGTACAAACAAAAAGAAATACGTAACCCTGGGATGATGCGGGTGAGCAGAGCCGGATGGGAATTATAGCAGAGTGCCCTCGGTGTCCCCGCTCTGTCCCTGTCCAGCAGTATTCGGACAGAACAGATGCAGGACACCCCTTCCTCCAGCCTCAGTCTCTCCTAACCACCGCTTTCGGAACCATCTTGGATTTCCTCCGCCCGAGACCAGCCAACACCGTGTCTTACCACCTTCACTCCTGATTGCAACCAGCCACGAGCTCCCAGATTCGTCAGAATGATCCCCCTTCTCCCAAGGGGAGGCCCACTGCCTGGCCAGCAGCACCCGCCGCCTCCACACCTGCCTGGCTCTGGGCGTCTGTGTGTGTGTCTGTGTGTGTGTCTGTGTGTGTGTGTCTCTGTGTGTGTGTGTCTGTGTCTCTGTGTGTCTCTGTGTGTCTCTGTGTGTGTGTGTCATGTGTGTCTGTGTGTGTCTGCGTGTGTGTCTGCGTGTGTCTGTGTGTGTCTGTGTCTCTGTGTGTGTGTCTCTGTGTGTGTGTGTCTGTGTCTGTGTGTGTGTCTGTGTGTGTCTGTGTGTCTGTGTCTGTGTGTGTCTGTGTCTGTGTGTCTGTGTGTGTGTCTGTGTGTGTCTGTGTCTGTGTGTGTCTGTGTGTGTGTGTGTCTGTGTGTCTGTGTCTGTGTGTGTCTCTGTGTCTGTGTGTGTGTGTGTCTGTGTGTGTCTGTGTGTGTCTGTGTGTGTGTGTGTCTGTGTGTCTGTGTCTGTGTGTGTCTCTGTGTCTGTGTGTGTGTGTGTCTGTGTGTGTCTGTGTCTGTGTGTGTCTGTGTGTGTGTCTGTGTGTGTCCCGGCCTGCGGCTCCAGAGGGCGCGGGCCGCTTCCCCCAGAGCTGGCCGAGGCGCAAGTCTCTTGAGGATGCTAGCCCAGTGGGGCTTGGAGAGGCCGCCCCAGAGGAGGGGGTGGCACTCGGGAGCCGCGTGGCCCTGGGGACCTGGCCAGGCCCCTGTGGACCTGCAGCCTGGGCTCCGCCCGCCCCACCCCTACTCCGGGACTCCCTGCAGAGCCCTCCCGCTGGGCAGGGGAAGCTCAGGGAGATGGGCCCCACCCGGTCCCCCCCTGCCCGGGCCTCTCCCTGCAGCCAGGAGGCAGCCCGCTAACCCCCCTGGGCCCTCCCCCAAGCCTTGGACCCAAGGGAAACAATAAAGCTATTTACGCCCTAACCGGTGTGGCTCAGTGGATAGAGCGACTGCCTGCAGACAGAAGGTTCCAGGTTCGATTCCCGTCAAGGGCATGTACCTTGGTTGCAGGCACAGCCCCGGTGGGGGGTGTGCAGGAGGCAGCTGGTTGTTTCTCTCTCATCAGTGTTTCTAACTCT